GGGGCGGCCGGAGGCTTTTTCGCCTGGGGCGGCGAAAAAGCCAGAGCCGGCCCTGTCACAGGCAGTGACAACACCCCAGCTGAAATAAACCAGGGAGATGTGGTGATCAATAGAGAGTATATGGCCACCTCTCATGAGGAAGCCAACAACATCCTTGCACAACAAAGAGTGATGGTTGCAAAACATAATCTATTGGGAATATCATTATTATCAGATGACACTGACATATTTGTCTTATTCTTGCACCACTACTTTGAACAGAGTCTAACATCTTTAGTGATTTTGGAACCCCAAGTACAAGAGAGAGCTGTAATAGACATCCGTGCTCCTGCCGAGCAACACCAGAACATTGTGTCAGGACTGTTAACTGCCCATGCATTCTCAGGTGATACCGTAGTTTCCTATTTTGGCCTCGGCAAAAGCACTATGTTTGAGTTTCTGTGAGCTGGATGCTCCCTCCCTCTTCTGGATGACATCAGTGCAGCAATGGCTGCAATTTATGGCTGCATGCTATGGACAATCAAATTATGCCACCATGTCAGAAGCATGGTAGAAATCATGGGCAGCAAAAAATGGCAAATGTCAACACCAAATATCAGTTCCCTACCACTTACAACTGAAGCATTTATAGTAAATGTAAAATGAGTACATCTTCAAGCATGTGTGTGGAAAAGTGCTTTGGATGCAGAGACACCAGCACTTGATCCAATGCAGTATGGATGAATGCACAATGACAGTTCCAAGTCTCTCTTTTTAAAAACTGTGCCAGACAATGTCATGCTTGCTTATAACAGGGTTCAAAAAAGAACTAGATAAATTCATGGAGGATAGGTTCCATCAATGGCTATTAGCCAGGATGGGCAGGGGTGGTGTCCCTAGCCTCTGTTTACCAGAAGCTGGGAATAAGCGACAGGGAATGGATCACATGATGACTTTCATTCCCTCTGGGGCACCTGGCATAGGCCACTGTCAGAAGACAGGATACTGGGCTAGATGGACCTTTGGTCTGACCCAGTATGGTCTTTCTTATGTTCTCCTCCATATATTTTGAAGTTAATCAAGTACTCTTGTGAGAGTGATATGCCTTGTAAGTCTATGAAATGTAGATGTAACAGTCCCAACCATATTGTATGCTTGCCAAGGAGATGTAGTGTGTTGCAATGATCTAAAAAAATCAGCATTAGCATTTGCAGATGAAAACGACAATGACAAGTAGTCAGTGGTGTTACTCATATGCAGACACTCAACTGTAGTTTGAATGAGAGAGAACACTAGTAATCATTTATAATGATTTCATAAGTTATTATTCTTTTGGTGTGTGTCTGTGGAATATTTTTTACATTAAAAAGAGTGGTCACTATATAAAATGATAATTGAGGTCCATGCTATACCCCCAATTCCCATCCTCATGTACACCTATTACTCAAAAATTATTGCTATTGATTGATATTGCAAATATTACATACCTGCATTTCACTTATTAGAATTCTTCTGCCTTGATTTTGTATGCCCCAAATCATGCAGACTCTTTTAATGATTATGGGTGGTGGTGAGGGTGGAATGAAAAGTCAATATTTCAATATGCTCAGCAGTGATAGAGGGTCATCATCAGACAGATTCTTAAAATGTATGGTTTTGAGATATAGAATCCACATAAAAAACCTTGTATGGTCCCTAAAACAAGGTTGACCAGAATGGCAGCCAGACTGTGAATGCAGGATGAAATTGTTCCAGCAGGCCTCCCACTACTGACCCTCAGTGTATCTGTGGCCTATACAAATGTCCCAGAATCCACTTCTGGGAGCTCTGCGGGGATCTACGGGATGGTTACCCATAGGGCATTGCAACTGAAACATTTAGAACAATGCTAGTTCGAATATGTGGTTACAACTATAATGGTCTACAGACCGAATCAACATGACTAGTGTGGATGCATTGAACTGTCTGTGCTGAAACTAGTTCTATCCTGTTTGTTCAATGACAAACAATTCAGTTCTCTACACTTGACCTAAGAGCAGAATTGAATCCATAGTTCAGTTTAGTAACCTTGCACCTCCAAGAGAGAAAAGAGGTATGGTTGAAATGGCTCCGAGATTAGTTGAGTCTCATAAGGACAATTGAACATGTGCATCTGCTGCCTTATTTGACTTTCTAGTAGGGTTATTACTAACCTGCTGTGGTTGCCTTCCCCTTCTCAGAACTGGAATACTCTGATGTACCTCTTGAGAAGTTTGTGGCTAGTCTATACTGTTCATATGGTCTATTAAAAAACTGATATGGTTTGCCTAGAACAATGTTGCACTATTTGCGTACACATAGCAAACTCTATATAGCAATACTGAACCAAAAGAAACCAAGTGTATCATCTTTAACATTGACTTACTATCTACTTCTGTGTGTGCAAGTATAATGACCTTTGTACTTAATTAGCAAATATAATCTGCCCCTACCTACCTTTTAAAATGCAAATAAACAATTCTTGGGAGTAAGAAGGGAGCAGGCAACAGCCACACTTGACATTGCATCACACAGTAGCTTGCAAGACGCACAACATGTAGTTTTAACATTTCTATGAAAGTCTAAAAGCTGCTATTTTGAGTCCACATTTCCTTTTAACTCAGATAACTGCAATAAAGATTGTTTAGAGCTGAAGCTGTGAGAGAGGCAGACTAGTGCAGCTCTTGTCCAAATTCTAATAAATCACTAGAATAGCGCATCTCTAATATGCGGTACTGCAGTTGAAAACAGACATTAGGACTATATCAATCATACTAAAAATGAACAAACTGCTTATAATGAAAGTGAAAAAATGGATCCCTCATTAACATGCCCCTCCGCCCACCGCAGTCTGATTGGTTTCAGAAGCCACTGCTTCTGAGCCTACTGTAGGACCTGAAACTAAAAGACAGCAGCAAGATTCTAGTGCTACAGCCAAGTGCAGTGTAGCCAGAGAAACAGGCAACAAAAATAGAATGCCAGGATTGCTGTGCGTGGGTGAGGCAGAAACCACATTATGAGCAAAAGCTTCCAGTATTATTTTAGAACCAATCCAGAGCCCTTCTCATTTTGTTCTCTTTTCACAAAATACCCATGGGGAGGATCGAAGGAGAAAGAAATCAAACATAAATCTAGAATTTTAATTTATATTCCCCTTCTTCTTTTCTTGCTTGAAAAGCTGCTCACAAACGTACATTTGTGCACAAATAAGTTTGACAGTGGGAAAGGGTTAATTACTTTTGAGGATTGGCAAGAGAATTGCAGTTTGAAAGATAGAGACTGGACAGCTGTGTTTGCTGTGGTATTTTTAAGTGCATTAATGCAGGCTCCAATCACTGGGCCATGCTTGACCTATTTTTGGCTCAGGCTGGCCATTGTTCTATTTCTGTTGCCTGTGGGCCACACTGTTGTTGATTCATATGCAAATGAGTTATCACTAGCTTCAGCCAACTTTGCAGAGACACAGAGCCAGGGAGATAGAGAGAGAGAGAGGAGAGACGGAGAGGAGAGAGAGAAAGGAGGAGGGCACAGAGACAGAAACACTTGTCAAGGCTGAGGGTAATTGAAACTAAGCCCTTAGGGGCTGAAGTCCCTGGAAACGGTGCTTATTTGGTTTTATTTTTTAAAGTGGCTTTATTCTCCCCACCACCACTCCACAAGAAAGCCTGAAGCACAAATACATTTCTTCATCCACCTGCTATTGGCTTCCAGAACACAACTATTCCAACTCAGAGGTGCATAGTCCACTGAGTCCTTCTTATTGTTTTGCAGCAGACTGGGGCAGAGTAAAAATGGATTGTCCTTTTGTTTTTTAAATACATAGATATTTATTTAAATGCTTAAATATTGTTAATTACCAAAGTCTATTATTTCTCCCACCCCACTGTGAAGGAGGTAGGATTAGAGAGGGTCGCTCCTGACGCCCCTCTATGGTACAGTGATGAATCTTTCATGTAGCTGAAGTACAGACTGATTGGAATATGCTGCAGACAATTTACGAGAGCGAATCGTGTTTTTCCTCAGATGGAGTTTCTGGACGTGAACAGCTCTTTGCTCAGCAAAGAATGCACAGTATGATCAGCTCAGGTAAGAGGCAGTTCAATAACTAAGGCTTCTCTGTCTGGAGGGTGACTTTCTCAGGAAATACAAACTGTCACAGTAAAGCACTTCTGCTTTAAAGAATTGGTTCTATTTCAAGTTCTTTTATTCTGCTTCTTATTAAATGATTATCTCTACAACAATATTATTTGGACACTTGCTGCTGCTGTTGTGGTTTTCTTTTAAGCCTACTGCTTCCAAGCAAAAAGAAAACTAGCAAGTAAAATACAGTGTGGGTTTTTTTTCTTCTCTTGTTCTGTGATGGCAAAATGGGGCTTGCAATGATCGCAGGCTCAGTCAGAACGAGACTCCATCAACAAGACCTTATCAGCAGGCTGCAATTCATATAACCCATCTTAGTCAGTTTTGTTCATATATATTTTTGTAAGCAGGAATAGGTCTATTTGTAAGTTTCTTTTTCTCAGGTTTACAGACAGAGTTTTCTCTAAAAGTCCTTTTCTGTTTTCATAATGCTGTCATCTTTGATTACTCTAAAGTAAATCTGTGTCTTTCTTACATAGGGCTCATATTACTTTAAACGTATTACTTTACTTTAAACCTGTTTGTACCTTTAAACGTATTTGGGAACCTTGGCAATGCCAGTCAGATGTGATGACTCACTGAAAATGTAAGTTGGATGTGTTTTTAAAGCAGGTGTTTTAAAGCTGCAGTTGCAGAATAATGGATATTATCTCCCAGTTTTGAAGACCTTGTATTTTCTAGTTTCTGTAGTATCTGTGTTTTAGACCTCGCAAACGATGCACTGAAACTGAATTAAGCTGCAAGAGTTTAACAAGATAACTTAGTAAAAGAACCCAGAGCGCAAGTCAAATTTGGTCTCTCTCTGGTTAACACTGTGTGGTTCTGGCTTTGGTTTTACACTGCTTAACTTTATTATGCTTTTGGACACAATGTTATCTGCCTTATGCACTTTCAACCCCTTGTTTCTGGTTCTCCTTTATTAGTTTGTAAAGTTGGCTTTGCATAAGACCTGCATGTGAAATGTGCTGTGAATTGCCCACATAGACTTCAATCTTAGTTAACCCCCCCAAAACCCTCACAAAACTTGGCAGTGCTTCCCACTTTCCGAAGTGTGAGCATGTCTGAAAGAACCCATGCCTGTTCTAATGGTCATACCCTTGGTCCACCTGTTGAACCTTCTATGATTAGTATATATATTTGATATCTACTTCCTTTCCTCTTTTGTGGAAAGGGATATGCTGAGAGTTGTATTTGTTTCATACAGGGATGGAACTGAAGAGCAGAATAATGGTTTCAGATATTAAAATAAATTGTAATGTAGTGAGAGTTTGTCAACTGGGAATGCCTGCCTTTTCAGCCAACACCTTTACATGTCTTAACAGCACAGCAAATAATTTCCATTGCAGAAAACCCAGGCCACCTAGAAATAATTATATATTGAGAGCAGTGATGAAAGACTGAAGAACTGCTTAAATGCAATCTCAAGCCTGGAGATAATGGAATGGGAGAGGGAACTTTTGACCAGTACTGCTTAACATTGTCCGTTTTCTCTGTTATAAAGTTTTTTTCCCCTCTCATTGTGACTCAGTTTTTGGTCTCCTCAAGAATTTCCAGAGCTGTTTCTTTGTGTTTTGGGAATAGGTTTTGTACCACTGGTGCCAGGTTCCTTGTTTAAAAAAAAAAACCTGGGGGTAAATTTGTTCATAAGTGTAAAGGTTTAAGCACTGGCTCAGACTGTGGCTAGGCACTGAAATTTTCTGTCAAGCTTTCTCAGAACTCTGCCAAGCCACCTAAGCGTAGACCTGTTGTTACAGTCACTGGCCTACTGTGCACAGATTAATAGTTGTATGGTGGTTTTGTAATGGGCACCGACATAACCCAGAGATCAGACTAGGATCACTCTTTTCGTTTTCATTTGCAAAAAAGCCAATTTTGAACCCAGTTTTACAGAGGTGGAAAGTTAGTGCATAGCCCATCATGCTGCCTTGAACTACCAGTCAGGACCATTTGAATAACAGCAGTTATCTGATTTGGAACCCAAGACCAGCTGGTACTTTTCTGTGAGATTATAGCTCTACTTTCCTTCCTTGGAGACAAGAATGTCGGATAACGTTTGATTTTTATCTGGTATTGTTAGAGCCATGTAACGTATAAAACTTCTTCTGAAGCAACATATAATGCTTTCATTTCTTCCTTTCTTAATCGGGAGACAAAAGACTATTTTCCAGGTGAAGGCTTTTTAAAAGTTACTTTGTTTAAAGCAGAAACATTCTTCAGTATTTATGCTGACCTTTAAAATACACAAATAAAATACAACTAGTTGACATTTTACATAGTCTGCAGTTTAATCCATTTCATGTGCGACTAGAGGTCCAGTGGTGCTGTTGAGTGACCTCTACACCTTTTGACTTCAGCAGTTTGCTGAATCAGGCCCTATAATTTGGTACATGGCAATCTTCATATGTAGGCTGATGTTTTACAGAATTTATGGGAAATGTCACAACAATAGATAAAATCTAATAAACCACTAAGGATCCATATATTTCTGAATTGGAAATGCGCCTCCGTTTCGTTCTATAATATTTTATCACATTGTTAGGCAACAAATAATAAATGAGATGCTGCTGTACCTTAATGTGATTTAAAATGAAAACACCCCCCATCCCCATTTCTGAAACTTATGAGAGACATCTGTGTCAGCAGAGCCTGCTCTACTGCTTATAGGAGAGAGGAGTTGCCCCTCTAAGGCTGCTAGGATGCTATATGGCTGCGTTAGGGTGGCTAAAATGTCAGCTAATTGTAGTGTTTTTTTGTGTGGACACTAATAACTTAGTGGTCTGTTTTCTCATGTAGACGTGTAAAGCCCATTCCTATTAATGAGCTACGCATATTTATCATAAGAGACTAGACCTCTAAATATTTACACCGTGCACCCTTAATCCTTCAGAAATCTAAGAATTAGCACAAATTTAGCACTCACTTAATGGATTTTTAGATTTGCAAATCTCCAGATTCACTGTGCACGCATTCCTCAGCTCTATTTTTAAAATAGATGGAGTCAACCCCAAAGGAGACACTTCCAATGGGCATCTGATATGTATTCGCAGACCAAACTGTCTGAGGAATTTCTAAGAATACTAGGCATATGAAATGCTCCTGTCATGTGAAACAGCACTTCGGGTATTCCCTTAATTACTGCTTTGCCTGCCTGCCTCCATCTCAGCTTGTATATCACATTATGAATGGGATGATCTGGATAGGTACCAATCAAAAGTATAATCATGAATGGGACAATCTAGATAGGCACCAAAGCAAGAAGCTATATAATTACAAACACCTACACCCTATGTCAGACAATAAGAATATCAGTGATCTTGAAAAAGTCTGTATTATATGTTAATGTATGGTGCTCTTTCCTCTGAAATGCACTACGAAGTACTCGGCAGGTTTCTTCAACAAGACAATATTGATTAAAATTATGGTATTAAATATGTATTTTAGACATAAGAAAGTGAACTTTTCTCTCTCTCTTTCTCACTGGCTAAGGAAAACATACTTTGTCTTGTTAATTTCCCCACCAAAAATGGGAAAAGTGTGTTGGGTTAAACTGATCTCTAATGAAAGGCCTGTAAGCTTAACAGGGCAAGGTAAATAATTTGCCCAGAACAATAATAATTTATGTTTAATACTACTACTAAGCTTTTTTAGAGCAGGGCAAAAAAGTTGCACTGAACAATAATAATTGGATTAAATGGAGTTTAACCAGTGATTAATTTGGCCTTTGTGTAGAGGGGAGATGTAGATTTACCATGCTGTGAGGACTGAGAATACATGGCTTTGAGAAGTAAACCCAAGATCATGAATCCCTTTAGTCATTAAATATTCCTTGCCATTTTTTAAGAAGGGTAGGGATGTTGGCCCAGCTTTCCTGGCCATATTCCCACATGGATTCCTGCATTCTTCCTCTCTACACTCTACCTGCATTTGTATTTGGATCCTATACTGTTGTGTTGTGCTTACAAGCCTGGTCAAAGCTCAAGAGAGAGCTAAGCCTAAAAGTGCCATTGACTTGCTGGCCCTGGGCAAGTTACATAACGTGGTACATCGCCGTTTTTCCCGTAAAATCAGGAAACTAATTCTTACTTATCAGGCTCACAAGCATGTTCCCCGTGGAGTAAAATAATTCAGAATGATTTATTCGATTAACGTAGCCTCTCTATCTGCTTCCAAAATATCTGCAATATTCTGAAATCTAGTCAAAATATTTTACTCTGTGGTTTGATCAAGAAATACAAGTTGTGTTGCTTAGAGGCGAGTGGTGGAATAAATCACATTTGTTGCTTCTGTTCTGTGGTTGGATAAGCATGTGCATTTAAATGATCCAGTACAAATACTAGCATCTGTGACTTTGAAATCCACTTCCCGGGCCAAGAAAACTCAGTTGCTCAAATGTTCTTGCACAGTGAATGCAAAATGATCATAAGGATGGCTGAATCTCATTCATTTGAAGATTTGCTTTAATACAGTGGTTCTCAACGAGGAGTCCGGGGCCCCCTGGGGGGCCACGAGCAGGTTTCAGGGGGGCTGCCAAGCAGGGCCAACATTAGACTCGCTGGGACTCAGAGCAGAAACCCGAAGCCCCACCACATGGGGCTGAAGCCTGGGCCCCCAAGCCCCGCCATCCGGGGTTGAAGCCGAAGCCTGAGCAATGTAGCTTTGTGGCCCCAGGCAGTTTTCCTGCTTGCTACCCCCTAATGCTAGCCCTGGCTTTCATGTGCAGAAAAACAGTTGTTGTGGCACAGGTAGGCCGGGGAGTTTTTATTGCATGTTGGGGCGGAGGGGAGCCTCAGAAAGAAAAAGGTTGAGAACCCCATCTCTAATATTCATGGAAAACTTGAATTATTTGTCCATTTCAGTTAGATACCATATAGCATTTTACATTGGTAAGGGGCTGTATGGATCTTATCTTGAGGCAATGGCACGGTGGCTATTAAAACACTATTGTG